TGAAAGAGCACTGGAATCATCAAATCCAGACTTCCTGAGATGGAAGAAAAGTAATCTACTTATTTAAGCTACTGTTTCTGTCACTTGATATTAATTTACATATTTGTCACTTACAGTAAGCAAGAAACATTCCTAACTAATCTGGATGCTTTTCAGTCATTAGTTATTAGTTGTCTCTAGTTGAGCACTTCTTTTATTTTTCCTTTGGGTCCAGATGTTTCCTACACTCTCGTGGTTTTCTCCCTACTTCTCTGGTGGCTCCCTTTCAGTCTTCTCTGTGAGCCCCTCTTCCAAGGCCCACACTTTATATGCTGGGATTCCTTAGTGTTCCATATGAAAACCTCTTTTCTTCTCCTTCTGTATATCTTCAATTAGTTTCCGTAGACTAACAATTCCCAAATGGCCAGCCCAGACCCATACTAATGCAAATATTCAGTTACCTGTAGGCATCTTAAAGTCATTATATCCAAAGGTGAACCCAGCTTTACCCCTAAGCCTGTGATTTCCCCTGTCATAGTGAATGGCACTACCACTACACATTTAAGAATCCCAGGAATTAGCCTAGGCTCTTGCACACACTTTATTCCTTTCCCCCTAAACCCAATCACTATAGAGCCCATACATCCATACCCAATGCTGTCTTCCTTGATCAGGTCACTACCACCTCTAACCAAGATGACTGCACCAGTCTCCTGACTGGTCACCTTTGATCCAGTATCCACTCTTTTGCTAAAGGGATCCATTCTGAAGCAATATTTGATCACATCAACTCTCCTGCTTAAAGTCCTCCATCACCTTCTAGTTAAGATATCCTTAATCTGGCTTTATGACATCACCCTTGAGCTTCATGTCTCTCCTCTGCCCCACTCTGAATCTACACTCCAGCCACCTATGCTTCTTGCAGTTATGCAGCCCTACATAAGCATTCATGTTCTTTCACCTCTAAGCCTTCATACATATTATGCTTGCTTCTTAAAGCATTCTTCTCTCTTTTCTCTTTTTCAAAAAAAAATTTAAAGATCTTATTTATCTATTTATTTATTTGAGAGAGAGAGAGAAAGCAAAAGTGGCAGGGGTGGGGGATGGGCAAAGGGAGAAAGAGAATCTAAGGCAGACCCTGTGCTCAGTGTGGAGCCTAACTCGGGCCTTGATCCTGCGACCCTGAGATCATGACCTGAGCTGAAACCAAGAGTCGGACACTCAACCAACTGAGCCACCCAGGTGCCCCTGCCTCCTTTTTTCCTGATTTTTTTTTTTCTGATTCTTGGAATCTCCCTTTCTATGGGAAGCCTTCCAGCATACTTCTTCAGCATCACTTCTCTGTTTCCCTGTGACCCATTATTCCTCCATCATTGGACTTATCACATTTTATATTGTAATGTGTTTAATTTGTTGGTTTTCCTCACTACAGTGTAACTCATCTATCTCATTCCCATTTTGTCCTGAGCACCAGCATAGCAGGAGCTTAACAATTATATTTTGAGTGAACATTTGAAATTTTTTCAAGCCTTCCACATGACTCTTCCCCTTCACATTCATTTTTGCTGTGTCCTTACTTAAGTTAGGAACACTATCTAGGGCAGCCCGGGTGGCTCAGAGGTTTAGCGCTGCCTTCAGCCGAGGGTATGATTCTGGAGACCCGGGATCAAGTCCCACGTCGAGCTCCCTGCATGGAGCCTGCTTCTCCCTCTGCCTTTGTCTCTGACTCTCTCTCTCTCTCTTTCTGTCTCTCATGAATAAATAACATCTTTTTTTTTTTTTAAAAAAAAAAGGAACATTATCTAGCACATAGTAGATATTGAATGTGGTGGACACTGGGAGTTGATTATCCAAAAACTACTCTTCCTCTTTACTGTCACAGCTCAGTTTTTCTACGGAGATACATAATACCCAGCTAAGTACTCAGATTCCCAGCCCCCCTTCTAGCCAGGTGTGCTCTGAGACACACTTGCGGCCAATGAGAAGTAACCAGAAGCCTTCTGGAGAGTGGTGAGGCAGCTATGTTTTGAAGAGAACTTAGGTCTGTGAAAACAGCATGGACAAGGTACCAGCCCTGGGCTGCCCACCTTGAGACTTTTTATTATGTAAGTAAAGTAAATCCCTACCTAAGTTACTTTTGGTTAGGTTTTGTTTTTTTTTTTCATACACCAAAGCATTCCTAAGTTATGCTTATGGCCTCTTCCCAGCTGTCAATTTATTTAACTTCTCAGGGCTTTCAAGGCTTTATCTAGATCTACCCAGGTAAGGCTCGATTCCCTATTTTATGAAACGAACCAGTAAAACACATGATTTTGCCACCCACAGGAATGATGGCCATTTTGTTAAATAAAACAGAACAATGGTAATAACCTTACATGATTCCAGCAGATCTAACCTCATTCTCATTTTTTTACCACCTCCCACAGAAGACACAGCTTTCATGAACTGTATGTGTATCTCTCCAGTTCTTTAAAAATATTTTATAGGGATCCCTGGGTGGCGCAGCGGTTTGGCGCCTGCCTTTGGCCTGGGGCGCGATCCCGGAGACCCAGGATCGAATCCCATGTCGGGCTCCCGGTGCATGGAGCCTGCTTCTCCCTCTGCCTGTGTCTCTGCCTCTCTCTCTCTCTCTCTCTCTGTGACTATCATAAATAAATAAAAATTTAAAAAAAAATATTTTATATAGTACTTGCTTCAGCAGCACATATACTAAAAATATTTATATGTATAAATTTATTTATGCATAATGAAGTATTTGTGTGAGCTTATACAATTATTTAATCTAAATAAGGATGATTTCATCTCATTTTGGCATATACTGATGCCTCACTTTTTTTTCTCTTATTGCATTAATTAATTAAGATCACCAAACCAATCTTAATTAGTAGCAATATAGCAGGCAGTATGGTCTTAAAACCAACTTTACTAGCAGTACTTCTAGTATTTCACCATAAAGATGATGAATTGTATGAGACTTATCAGGTTAGTTTCTTTTTATTCATATTTGCTAAGTGCTTTCTTCTCCCCAGTCATGGGTGGGTATTGAATTTTACTAGGCCCATTTGGTAAATATTTCATTTCAGTTATTGCACATTATACATTTACTTGAGAATAATAGCTACCAACAATATTTTATGAAATTATTTCCTTGTAATGCTTTAGGTCATGATATTTTAAAGTCTTTAACATTTGATCAGCATTTGTTAAAGCATTTAAATTTTAGATTGTCATCATTGGGATCACTGGGTGGCGCAGCAGTTTGGCGCCTGCCTTTGGCCCAGGGCGCGATCCTGGAGACCCTGGATCGAATCCCACGTCGGGCTCCCGGTGCATGGAGCCTGCTTCTCCCTCTGCCTGTGTCTCTGCCTCTTTCTCTCTCTCTCTCTCTCTCTCTCTCTCTCTCTGTGTGTGTGTGTGTGTGACTATCATAAATAATAAAAAAAAAATTTAGATTGTCATCATTTGGTTGATGTAGTAATTGGTCTCTGGGACTCAGTCTGGTTGCAGCCAACTGCTGTGTCCTGAGAGGACTCAAACAACTCCCTGTAGAGGCCCATGTTAAGAGGCCACTTGTCAACCATGTGAGTGAGTGTTGTGGGCTAAACTGTGCCCCCCACCACCCCCCAAAAAATTTATATGGTGACGTCCTAACCCTTTGCATCTCAGAGTGTGACCTTATCAGGAGAAAGGGCTTTTACAGAGGCAGGGAAGCTAAAATGAAGTGATTAGGGTGAACCTTAATCCAATATGACTGGTGTCCTTACAAAAAGGGAAAATTTGGACCTAGACATATGCACGGAAGGAAGACCGTGTGGAAGAGACGCAGGGAGGAAATGCCATATAAAAGCCAAGGAGAGAGACTAGAATGGATCCTCATAAGGAACAAGCCTGTGGACACCTTGATTTTAGACTTTCAGTCTCCAGAATTGTTAATTCTGTAAATTTCCCCTGTTGAAGCCACACTGTCTGAGGCTTAAACTTCATCACAGTAGCCTATTATTAACTAAAATTTCCCCCACCAAATCCCTATGGTGACGCTGTGACTCCCAGTATCTGACTGTATTTAGAGATAGACTTTAAAGAATTAATTAAGGTTAAATGAGGCCTTTACGGTGGGTCCTAATCCGATATTACTGGTATCCTTATATAAGAAGAAGAGATTAGGACCCAGATATAGAGGGAAGATCCTGTGTGGACACAGGAAGAACATAGTCATTTACAAGCCATAGAAAGAGGCCTCAGAAGAAACTGCCCCCGCTGAAAATATAATCTCTGACTTCCAGCCTCCCAGAACTGTGAGGAAGTAAGTCTCTGTGTAAGCCACCCAGTCTGTGGTTTTTCACTATAGCAGCTCTAGTCCACTAATCCAGTGAGCTGCCTTCCAAGTGGACGTGCAGGCCCAGGGTGGCCTTCAGATGACTGCCACCACACGAGAGACCTGGAGCCACAGCTATCCAGCTAAGCTACTCCTAAGTTCCTGGCCCCCAGAAACTGGAATTAATAAATGTCTGTTCTTGTTTTAAATCACTAAGCATTGGGTTAATTTGTTTATGTACAACAGATAACAAATACTGTAGATTAAGAAGAAATAATTAAGTTTATAATAATAAATTCTCTCTCATTGGTAAGCTTAGGAAAATACCATACACCTTTCAGAACTCAATTTGATACTATGAACACCATCTGATTTCTGAGGCCTGTTGTATTTAGGAATTAATAAACTTTACTCTGCACTCAACTTGAAATTCTAAAAAATTTCCAAACATTACCTTCAGTTTTGGTTCATATTTATTACGCATAAAAGGCAAAGCACTTGTATTTTTTGATTTATCAATGTAGCTGGACAAACCAGAAAACTAAAACAATATACATGGGGATAAGCAGAACTCCTTTCTGGCAGTGTTTCTCCAGGATGGCATTCCACATTAGCCAAACTAGCAGGGGCTCTAAACTGGAGCACTTTCTAAAGAAAAGGAAAAGAAAGATCAGAGCTTCACACTTGGCAGTGTCGCACACAGTACCTTTTGATGGCCACCAGCTCTCCGGATTCGTTACTCTTGCCCATCAGCACACTCCCATAGGTCCCGTCCCCCAACTGTCTCATGGTTGTGTACCGGTTCATTGTGGAAAAATAATGCAATAGAAGTTGTTGACTGAAATGATTGCTTTGTTGAATATAAATTTAAAAGCTTCTTTATTTTTGTTTCTTCCCCTCAGATGGTTGTTGCTACATGGGTGACAGGTTTGTCATCATTAGACACAGGCTCTTCCCCAAGATTATGTAGGTTCATGAGATATACCAATAAGGAATCTGGCAAGGAAACAGTGCTTCCATTCTTATGAACACCCTATTAAAAAAAAAAAACAACAAGAATGAAAATTTTCACTAGTGAATCTCTTTCATTTATGAATCTCTTTTATTAATGAATAAAAATGTTCATTAATGAATCTCTTCAAAAAATTTACTGGTAATCTAAGCACAGGGAAGAATTATAATATAAATACCAATGTGTTTGTCAGTAGTCCTTGGAATGCAGTCTACATATAACAGACTGATAATACTCATTTATGAATACTTCATTTACATGGTGCTATGCTACTTATCCCATGAATATTCAGTAAATACTGGCTTCATGATTTGTAGGATTCTTTCTATACTGAACATAATCTATATTATTCCAAATCAGACACTGGAAAATCAGACAACTAACTACACTAAATCCATTCTTGGAATCAATTTTTACATTACATTTAATTTGGCCCATGATCCCTTATTTGTGAAACTCCTGGCTGGATGTGTCTGGAATCCAGGAATCTGTACATTTTAGAAAAGTAATACAGGGAATATTCCACAGGTTATGGAACACCTCCAAAGCAGTACCTTAATGAGGCTGCAGAAAAATGTACAGACTGGACACTCAGTAAAATAAATGAAGGCTACGCCGGCATCACATAATACAGGTCGCACTACGTTGCAGTGTTGTACAAATTTATTTCAAATTTTTCATTTCTTCAGAGCTTTGTGAATTTTGAAACAACAGATAAAGGATTGTGGATCTGTATATATTAGAAGGGTACAGGTTTCAAGTAGGTTCTGATTACTGCAATTAAAGAAAAACAGAACAAAGGGTGGCTTTACGGTGTACCCCAGTACAACATTCAATAGTTTCATCCCTTTGTTCTTAGTTCTACACTTCAAGGAACCACTTCTCATTTTCATACCTAGAATTTATCATTCTTGTATTGCTTTTAAAAATCTCTGTCATTCTGTTATAAGACTATATGCTGAGTTGCAGATGGTAGCAAAATGCTTGTCACCATTTGTTCTAAAATGCCTTTTATAATCTGATGCTTCGTTCAAAGATTACTTTTCTTTCACTGTAGCACTGTTTCATTTCCACAAAATAAAGTCAGAGAAATTATTATATGCAGAAATTTAGGACCCACAGGGATATAGTGTAGTTGTCAAAGTACCTAAGATTTCCAAAAGCAAATCTTCCTCTTCTTCTTCAGGAGGAAGAAGCAAATATGCAGGGAAGGACAATAAAACTATGTTGTTTCCTCTTACAGGAATGTATTTGCCCATAGGGAATGTGGGAAGAAACCTGTGGAACTTTTAAGTAACAAGGAGTGTGCATTAGGGTATCGTTTATTTTACTTTATATAGATAATACCCTCTTGAAAGTCATGTGTAAATTAATTTAGGCTGTGCTAATTGTGGCCAGGATCTTAAAAAAAAAAAAGAAAAATCACAATAATAGATACCATATCTGTTTCGGGGTTCTTTCTCAGCTTAAGTCTGAGCAAATGGCCTTAGCAGATGCCAGAAAATGATTCCCCATTTGCCTGAAAATGAAGTTTTTTGTAATCTTTTAATGTAAAGATTATATTATACATACACATGGATTTGAAATATTAAGGCATTTATATAAAGGAAGTCAACACCCCTTCTGCATGGTTCCTGACCCAAACTTGTATTTGCTTTTCTTAATTTTTTCCTTTATCTGTATAAGGAAATATATTTTTGAAAGATCTTTAGGGTGGTTTATTTTTTTTAAAGCCATCTCTACGTACAACATGGGTCTTGAACTCATAACCCCATGATCAAGAGTCACATGCTCTTCCAACTGAGCCAGCTGGGCACCCCTGCGTTTTTATTTTGTACTCTGTGCTATGATTAAACAAAAAATGGATTAAAATGTATTTATTCTTATCATTTAGAATTTTATTAAATCAGTATTTTGCAATTTATTGTCAACAAGTTCACCTGACCTTTTTTCTAGCTACCTTATTTAAGGTGACATATATCTCCCTTTTAAGGAAAAGTCCTCTCTATAGGCTTACTGATCCCTTCTGCTTAAGTAACAATACAGAGAATGTATTTATCGATGAGGCCACAGTGTTCATTGTATTATAATCTATAATATCATGTATCTATAATCAATCAGAGAATCAATGATGGAATTGGTCTAGGCCTTGCATTAGGTTTGAGGCTGCTAATGTTTGGTAGGGTAGTCCCCAACTTCTAAACAATCCATTCTTACTGGCTTTTACTAATACACTAAAGGAACTACCTTTAGTGTATTAGTAAAATTTAGTGATTACTAATCACTAATACAGCTAAAGGAACTACCCCCACCCCCACCTCTGCTTCAAAACCATGCAGTCTCTGCCCCACCATGAAAGCTGCCCACCCCTACCTCCACCTTAAGATTCCTAACCTAATTCCTCACCCTAAAATACCAAGATGCTACTGACCAAATGGAAATTGCAAGTGGTACTCCCTACCCCTACTGGACTCTGGGGCTGCATCTGGCACTATATGCAGGACACTGTAACAATAATAGGCCAGAAACAGTGGAGGGAAAATAAGTAGGAGTACAGGAAGAATGAAGTCTAAGGAAAGCTCCCCTTATGAAAATTAATTTAATTCAGAAATTCAGTGAAACAACAGTATCATCATTTCTTTCATGTTAATATCTAATTAAGGACAAGCACTGAGGGTCTGATAGGCAGGAAGTAATATAGGCAATTCTGGAAAAGGACATATCGCATGAGAAGAAAATGAAAGAGGGAGCAGCCCAGGTAGGAACAGAAATTCAGAGTTGAGATGGTACAAGAAACAAAAGTCAAAATTTTACCCTGCAGTGAGTTAACCTCCAAAAGTGGAATTACCGCTTTCTTCCACTATTAAGACCATTAACCACCGCCACCCCCAGTAATACTGGCGCTACTACAGATCATTCACTCATTGATGACTTTCTGCAGTGGCCTGGAAACCCAACCACCTTTGGAGTGGGAATTGTAGAAACTTCATGCCAACCCTTACCAACCACTTTCCAAATTAACACCGGAAACACAGTTTGTTTTAAGTGAGGGTGGCTATAGCATAGGGTCTACTAATATTTAAGGAAGAATACACAGGGAACAGCCACTCTCAGCTTTATCAGTCAGCGGGTGGAGTGATGAAGATCATGGATATGACATAGATTTTAAAAAGGTCTGATTTGTGGCTCCTAGAGAATCTCTCCAGTTTAAGCCCTACCTAACCTAAAACAAGTTTACATACTATACTCCCAAACAAAAACTTTAGAAAATCCCCTTTTGAGTCATATTAATTACAAAACAGATAGTTTTCCAGGGTTAGAAGCCCTGCATCCTCCCTGAAAATATAGACAATGGCTTCATGTAAAGAGGCACAGATATCAAGGTGAAAAATTGTTGTTTTTTTAAAAATCATTATTTCCATGTATCTCCTCACTGATGGCACATGATCAACTACTTTAATCGATGTACCATAGCAAGTCCTAAACTAATTACTAGTCAAAAGCAATAGATACAAGTTAAGAAAACACAGGCTGCCTACGGGTCCCCAGTTCACTCACAGTAATATTTCTCTACAGGTTACATTTGTTCTTCTTTGTTGATCTACAAATGATAAATTCTGCAAAATGGAGATGTATTGACATGATTTCTTATGTATGATAATATTTCCATCTATACAGTTGACTCTGGAACAACATGGGTTTGAATTGTACATGTCTACTTATGTGCAGATTTTTTTCCAATCAATATCATATAATACTACTGTAAATGTATTTTCTTTCTGATTTTCTTAATAATAGGTTCTTTTGTCTCGCTTACTTTATTGGAAGAATACAGTACACAATACATACATGAAATATGTGTTACTTAACTGTTTATGTCATCAGTAAGGTTTCTAGTCGACAGTGGGTTATTAAGTTAGGTTTCTGCTGAATCAAAAATTATACTAGAATTTTTTATTGTGCAGAGACTCACATGCCTAATCCCTGCATTGCTCAAGGGTCAACTATATATATATATTTCCATATATGTGTGTGTGTGTGTTTGTATATATATATATGCAACAAGACAGAACACAAGTAAATGTAATACAACTATGATCCTTAATTTAACAGAACTGTTAGGAACTTGAAATTTTCTATTATTAAGCTGCAATATTTAGTGAGTTTCCTACAGCTAAACAAACCTTATATTTTGACTTAAGAGATTTAGAGGCTCAATTATAGACCAATATTAAATACCCTTATAACTTCTCTCCCATTACAGTTTTCTTATTTTTATCTAAGTGCACAATTATTGTGCATTTAAGTGCACAATTACTGTAAACTTAAGCTGTATTCTCGATAGCCTCTGCCAGCTAAAAGGGATTTAGGATTAAAGAAGATTAACAGAGGGCAAATGGAGGGTAAAACCTGTGTCTGTCAATCCCTGAACAGATAACGTCTGGAAATGTTCAACTTTTCTTTGTAGAACCTACTGTAATGATATCACTCCATCGCTGGCGTTAACGTTTGTTTAAACATAATAATAATAATACATCTTAAAAACCACTAAGTTGTGTGAAGAGCAAAATTAAAAAAAAAAGATCTCAAAGTAACCAAGACATATGTTTACAGAAATGAAAAGGAGAGCTTTACAAGGGGGACAGCAAAGATTGCAGTATTTAAAAAATAACAGCATTGTGCTTTGTGCTGATATTCACAAATCATTCCAAAATTAACCAACATAAAATAAAACACCCCAACGAAGAGATCAAACATCCTTGCCCAAGGCCAGCTTTGCACAGGCAGTTAAGTGGCCCCTTGGGGTGGGGGGAGAGGCAGTGGTTTCTCCCTTCCTCCAGGCTGCCCACCTAAGGAAAGGAAAGCCTGTGCCTCTACCATTACTTTGGCTCAAAGAAATTCGTTATCATTAGGGCAGATGGTCTGCTCATTCAAGGTGATTATTTAAACATAATTAATCTCTTCTAAAATTGAAATTCCAAAGCCCCTAAAATCAGTTTCGTTGTTCCCCACTTCCCTGCCCCTAAACTTAAAGTGTCTTATCAGCAGTAGGAAAGTTTCCATCACGCCCTCTCTCTCCTCTTCTCCGCAAGCCAGGGCCCTCCCGGTACCAGTCCCTTGGGCCGGGGCCCTGCAGGTGCGCCAGACAGGGGGCGTCCCCGGGGGCTTGGCGGGACCCAGCCGGGCGCCCCCAGGCCACCCCGCGCCGCGATCCCGCTGGGAGTCCCCCGCGATGCACCAACGAGGACATCTCTACATCCAGCTTCTTTCTTTTCCCTCCTTTTTTATTCTGTAGTAGTTCTGAACTCAGTCCCGAGCTTCTCCCTCCAGAAAGTAGTTTCCCCTCCCGCCTGGGCAGCAGAGCGAGCGGCGGGGGCGGGGGATCCAAACCGAGAGGTCGGGGCCCGGGTCCCTCGGACTGAGGGATGCCCGCCGTCATCCTCCCAGAACCTACCCCATCCCATCCTTTAGGGGCGCAGGAAAGTGGTCCAGGGGACCCGGGGAGCCCGGCTCCGAGCAGGCGCCGGCGGACCCTACCCCGCTCCCCGCTTCGCCTCCGCCCCGGGTCCTTCTCCCCGCCCCGCCCCCGTCCCCCTCCCCCTCCCTCCCCGTCCCTCCCGGTCCCTCCCCCTACCGGAGTCCAGGGCCCTTCTCTCGGCGGAGGTTGGCCCCGGGAGGACGGGGCGCCCAGGGCACATGCCGCGCGGGCCTCGCGGGACGGGCTCGAGCTGGGTCGGCCGAGGGTGGCAGCCCCGCGGCCCGCTCGGGATCACCTGCCCCGCACCGGCCGCTTACCTCTTTCGCTCCCGTGTGAAGCTCTGGCGTCCTGTGCGTTCCGTCTCCTAGGAAACGGCGGGGGTGCGCTGGCGTCTGCGCTTCCGGCCCGCTTACACCCCGCCCACGGGGGCGTGGCCACCCGGACAGGCCCCGCCCCGTCCTGCAGGCCCCGCCTCCCTGGGGCCCAGCTTAGTTAGCGCCTGCGCAGTCTCTGGTGCTCTCTGTGGGACTGGAGAAACTCTGGATTACCTTTCCAATTTTTTTTTTTTTTTTTGAGAAAGTTGGTTTGTTGGTCCTCTATTCTGATTTTGGTTTTGCTTGGATTATTTCTTTTTTTTTAAAGATTTTATTTATTTATTCATGAGAGACAGAGAGAGAGGCAGAGACACAGGCAGAGGGAGAAGCAGGCCCCATGCAGGGAGGCCCATGTGGGACTCGATCCCGGGTCTCCAGGATCACGCCCTGGGCTGAAGGTGGCCCTAAACCGCGGAGCCACCCAGGCTGCCTGCTTGGATTATTTCTACAAAAGATTCTGATTCGAAAAAAAAAAAAAAAAAAAGATTCTGATTCGTTCCATCTGGTTTGCAGACTTGGATGGGCAGAAGAAAGATGTATGTTTGCCTGTACTTGTATTTGCTTATGCATGTCCCACCTGGGGGAAGACTGCTCTTGGATTGCAGTCCCTTGTATTAGTCAACTCTTCAGGTATGTGTTACCTCCTAGGCCGCACTTCTTCTTCTTCTTCTTCTTTTTTTATAAATTTATTTTTTATTGGTGTTCAATTTGCCAACATACAGAATAACACCCAGTGCTCATCCTGTCAAGTGATAGGCCACACTTCTAAGTTTCTTTTCATTTATTCATTCAGAGAACCTACTAAGTACAGGTTAGAGTGTTACTGGTAATTATTCCAAGATAAACTAATGTGTTTGTGTAAATAAATGAGTAAGTAGTAACTAGCCTAGAGTTGTGAGAGGAGGACAAACTTGTGTCACTGACAAAAAAATGTCCAGATTGGCTAGTAAGAAGGGTCCATGAATCAGAAGCATGAGAGATGAGGCGGTGCTGTATCTCCATTTAGTAATTATCTATGAGGTGTCAGCCCTGGGCTTGGTACTAGAGTAATGCCAAAGTAAACGAGACAGATTTGCTCGTGGCCCCCCTCTTGCAGGTTAAAGGAAAATAGGCAGAAAAATAAAAAGCTTTTAAAGTGCAATCATGGAGGGCTTATATGCCCAATTAGGAAGCCTAGTACTTACCATGCGTTAATGGGGGAGCCAATGAAGGATTATCCAAAGAGGAGTGATGTGTTCATGTCTACATTTCAGAAAGATCACAAAAGCAGTAGTGGATAGGGCAAATTTCAGCAGTGAGTCTGAAGGCAAAAGAAAGAAAAGCAGGTGATGGCAACTGACCAGGAAGAAAGGGTGATCTGACTGCAGCAGTCAGGATGGAAGCTGAAGAGAAATGGGACAGAACTTAAGGGATATTTAGGAGTTAAAATTGGCCCATCTGGCTTAGGTGAGTAGTAGACAGTGTTTTCCAAAACTAAGTCGAGAAACACTGGAGGAGAAGCAAGATTTGTGGGTGAAATAGGGGAGAGATCAAAGGCCAGTTTAGAAAATTTTGAGTGAGGAAAATCCAAATGGAAGTTATGAGAGGGTAATTTAAAACAGATTTGTAACTTAGGGATGGAAGAGCTGGAAATACTGGAACTATAGCTGAAGTCTAAGGATGTGGACGAGATAAACTAAGAAAGAAGAACTGGGATTCTGGAAAACTCTTTAAATACTTTAAAGGGTGAGGAAGAGAAATGGAGATGTGTGAGAGAGAATGACTGAAAAAGAAAATTCAGAGAAGTAGCAGAAGAGTCTTGGGGGAAAAATGATATTTCAGAATGAAAAAGGTAAGTTAAAAAAAGAAAAGGAAGCAAGGAGGAAAACAAGAAACAGATATGATGGTAGACTAGATCCTCTGAAGAGTCCTCCTGATTTGAAGCAACGTCATCATGCTTAAGGCACAGGTTTTAATCTCGTTGTTTCGATAGGAAGAACAGAAGATCTCCAAGCACTCCCAACTCCTCTAAGAGGTACCTGCTACTCGAGTAGCAACAGTAAACATATGGGAAAGGCAAACCTGGCCCAAAGGCAAATCCATCTTCGGCATAGCAAGAAGACCAAGCCCTGGAGCAGTGGCCAAATCGCTGAGCTGAACCAGAGACTAGAAAATTAAGCAGAGAAACTGTGGAGGAGCCAAAGTGGAGAAAGCATGTTCGATTTAGGCACCCAGGTTTTTCACAAAATTCTGGCTAATAGCCACATGAAAAATGAACCCCCTCAAATGACAAGTAGCAGAAAAAGCAAAACATGTTTTTAAACAGCATAATAGGATCAAAGAAAGAGTTGGGGAACTGGCACAAAATCTGCAGAAATCACTCAGAATGTAGCAGAAAGAGATGAGATAGGAGATGTTAGTGATGGACTAAGAGATATGATGGAAAGAATAAGAAAGTCTAATACATAACTAAATAAATTCGAAGAAGTAGAGAATAAAGAGATCAGAGGAGAAGCAATTTTTGCAAAATCATGGCTGAGTACTTTCTACAATCAAAGATATGAATCCACAGATAAAGAAGGCATAACAAATGCCAAGCAGGGCAATTAAGATAGTCACACTGAGACACAAAGTAACAAAATTGCAGAATGTCAAAGACAAAGGAAACTTAAAAGCAGCCTGGGGAAAAGAGAAATGACCTTCCTAGAAAGGAAGAGCAACTTGAGTGACCACAGACCTGTTCATATTAGAAATGAAAGATGGAAGATCACATGAAAATTACCCCTCAAGGGGCACCTGGGTGGCTCAGTTGGTTGTGTCTGGCTCTTGATTTCAGCTTAGGTCATGATCTCAGCATCATGAGATCAAGCCCTGCATTGGGCTCCACACTCAGCAGGGAGTTTGCCTGAGATTCTCTTTCTGGCTCTGCCTCTCCCCCTGCTTGTGCTCTCACTCGCTTTCTAAAATTAAATAAGTAAATCTTAAAAATAAGTTCCCCCTCAAATGAAAATAAAAATAATGAACACTTTCATTCAAAGTAATGAAACGAAATAACTGTCACACTAGAATTGTACATAAGAAAACTATTTCTTAAGAGCAGTAGCAAATAGACACATTTTCCAGTGATAAAAAATAAAAATGAGATCTTTAATAATAGACCTACTCTGAACGGACTTCTAGAAACCGTACTTTTGGAAGAAGGAAAGTAATCACAAAAGGAAGGGCTGAGCTGGAAAAAGACAGTGTGGGCAAAGAAACTGATACATGTATAAATGTAAAATGTAAAACTATTCTCAGTGAAAATAACAGTTATTAATAATTGTTATTAATAATAATTTATGGAGTTAATAATATGAACCACAATACAGGTTTCCCCTGCTATCCAAAAGTAGAGTGTTCCTATGAAAACTTCTGTAAGCCAAAATGGCATAAAGCAATGAAACAATTACCATTAATTTGTATGGAAAAATTTGTAAGCATTCCCAGGCCCAAAAAGTAGCCTTCTTAGTTAGGCTTTTCTGATACTTAGGATGCAGCTTGCTAACAGAATAAGTTGTATTCACTAGAATTGTTGTTTAGAATTTGTTGATGCCCTCGGGGATGAAAATTTCAATACGGACTAATGGTTTTGTTGAAGGTATATAGACTTTTGTTTTAATCCCTCTACCTCCTCTTACTGACTATGGTTATTATTTTTCTCTAGGCAAAGTACTCAGTATCTCTGATACTCCATGTTCTTTTCTGTGAAATGGTCTAATGATGCATAACTTTGGAAGTTGCTAGAGGAACTGAAATACTGACCACCTCCTGCTAAGCAGTCCTTCATATCTATCCTGATCCTTACAATTAACATCATCATCTTCGTTAATTATTCATTCATTTATTATTTTAATGAAATGGAGGTGAGACTGAGGTGGGTTGGGTAGTATACGAGGTACGAGGAGTTGAAAATAGTTTTCCCGTGAAGAAAGGGAAAAGGGATGAATTGGTCAATTAAGGGGAGAAAAGAGACTTTTTTTAACAAGGAAGATTTCAGGATGTTTAGAAGATTGGAGGCATAACTGGTAGTGAGAAAGCAGAGAGACATAAGAGGAGGATGAATAAATAAGCAAGAATCTGAAGTAGGGAATGGGGCTGTGGAGATGGACTAGGGCTGCAGGAAGAATTAGCCTCAGACAGGAGAACAATAACTCCTTCTGAAAGAAGTACTTACTATGGTCCTGATTGTGTTTGCATTTTATAAATTCAGAGTGGTGTGGTCCATACAGCTGTGCCTTGTTTCCTATTGAAGCATCATGAGTGGTGTCATTTCCTCCTTGTATGTCTGTCTATCTATGTGCTATTTTCTGAGAAGTTAAAGGGAAAATAAAGCTATCCATCTGCAGTCTAATTACTTAACAAGACCTCAGTGAGCACATACTATGTCTTATTAGACTCCGTTGTAGGTGCTGGGGAGTAGGATATTGAACAAGACTCCAAGAAGCCTACTCCCAAAGTCCTGTCAAGGACAAACACCTAAGGCAAGACCTGGAGGACAGAAGGAGACCGCCAAATAAAGACCAGGGGGAAGGGTATGGCAAAGGAAAGGACGGGATGGGCACCTGCCAGAGGGGGAGAATGCTATGGGACGAGTTTGGAAAGGAGGCAAGATCCTTGTGACCTAGGGCCTTGTGGGTCTGGAGAAGAGTTTCAATTTTGTTTTGCGTGTCATAAGACAAATTCATTTTGCAGGGAATTAAGTAGGGTGTGATAGAATCAGATTTACATTTTAAACACCAACCCCCCCACCCCTTGAGACTATCACTGTTCTAATTCAAGCCGATCCCTGTCAAGTGATCCTGTTAAAACACAAGACGGGTTTCATTACTTCGCTTAAAACCCTGCAACAGCTCTCGTCTCTGTTGTGTGGTCCTTTTCATGACCCCTAAAGCCTGTAACATTTATCAGGCCACCTTTTTCTTTCAGGGTGACCTCATGTCTTACTAGTCTCCCTCTGTTCTGCTTCAGCCACACGGGCCTTCTCACTCTTGCTTACAGTGTTCCTGCCTCTGGACACTGCTCTAGCTTTCCCCCTGCTCCGAATGCTCATCCTGCAGATAACTGCAGATAACTGTTCCCTACTTCCTTTTAGTCTTTGTTCAAAAAATCACTTTCTCAGTAAAGTCTTCCCGGACCCTCCAAACTACCCACAACCTTCATACTTTATGCACACCCCTTTGCTTTATTTATTTATTTATTTATTTATTTATTTATTTATTTTGCATTTTCTCACCATTTATTATAACCTATATGTTACTGGTTTATGCTGTTTTCTTTCTGCCTCCCCTCCTGGAACAGAAGCTCCCTGAAGACAGAGGTTTATGCATTTGGTCACCAATCTATTTGTCTCTTGACCAGTACCTGACACATACCAGGTGCTCAATAGATGTTTGTTGATTGAGTAAATGGATGTTTCCACTGGCTGTTCTCTGGAGAATGAATTGTAGGAGGACAAGTGGCGAGGAGGGAGGCTGGCCAGGAGACATTTGCAGTCCCCTGGGTAAGAGATGATGGTAGGATGGAAAAGTTTAACAGCAGTGGAGAGAGGGAGGCATTGCAGTGTCCAATCACAAAGCGATCCATCCATTGATTGATTGGTTCAGTGGATCCACTGAATCCTTAGCAATCTTAGAAATGCAAGTCTTGGATTGTCCTCTGATGCAACTCACTACCTCCTCTAATCTCAGTTTGGGATGGTTTTGATGGTTTACACTGTCCTTTTACTGAATGGCAACATGTTACTTTGTAAGTTCCTGACCAGACTCTAAATTTTACCCTGTATGATCTGCAGTGGGGTCCCTTGTTTTTGACTGTCTAGCATTTGCCTTTCCTTGTCAGGAGGTATCTTTGGGGAGACACCTCTGACTCCTGTCTAGGTGGTTCAGTTTCAGGGATGGCACATGAGCCACTCAGTCTCAGTGATTGGATTATGTAGATGGGCACAGGATTGTGAGTCATGGGGGAAAAGGTGCTCCTTTTCTGCTGCAGATCCTTAGCGTAAAAATGACAGTCCAGACTGGCTGGGGGCCAGCCTTGCAACATGTCCTTGCTGAGGACGAACACAGCACAATGCAGGGCTGCAAGGGCATGAGACTTTCCAGACAACAGCATTTGAGCACCTGCAGAGAGCCATGCCTGAATCTACTCTTGGTCTTTTCAGCTGGAAGAGCTGGAACATTCCTCATATTGCTTGGTTGTTTGATTTTTCCTTTCCACTAACAACTGCAAGTGTTCCTGACTTATATGGGACCATAGGGAAGACTTTTTTCTCTCACATGTTAACCTTTCCCATATTTGAAGTTTAGCTGTCCCATATTTCCATGCCTTCCCCTGGTACCCCAGAATACAGGATGTAGGGTCATCCAGTCAGTCAATCCAGCTCCCCTATTCTTCCCTCAGTCTCAATGCCAGATATGTGGCCCTGAAGTTCAGTTAATGACTGAGGGATCAGAACATTCCTGATTCAATACACTTTTTACCATACTGTCCTCTATAACTTTTTTTCTCAGCTCCCAACTCTGAGCCAGCTAATGTCAAATGAGTTGGATTGCAATTAAATTATTTTCTAAAGAAATTTGTTGACTATATAAGATCATGGTCAGATTTTAGATAAACTCAAAGCAAATTTTGCATAGTCATAATTTTAAGAATGATTCTACTTGCTTTAGTTTTCTTTATAGCACCTACCACTCTATAATATACTATATAATTAATTATTAATTTTGTTTATTATTTGTTTTCCCCTTCATCCCCACCAGATTATAATCTTACAGGGCAGGTGTTTCATGTGATTTGTTCATTGTTGTTCTACAACATCTTAGAAGAGTGCCTGGCACATAGTATGTGCTTAATAAACATTTGTTGAATGAATGATACAGATTCTGTCTTTTAGCAGCTTGTGTTCTAGAAAAAGAATTTATATTTTTCTGGGGGAATATACAGGTTAGTAAGTGCTATATCTTTTAGGTTTGATTCACTTATGTTTTTATAGAGATACATATATTTTTTAAAGATTGTATTTATTCATGAGAGACACACAGAGAGAGGCAGAGACCTAGGCAGAGGGAGAAAGAAGCAGGCTCCATGCAGGGAGCCCAATGTGGGACTTGATCCTAGGACCCCAGGATCATGACCTGAGCCAAAGGCAGACACTCTATAACTGAGTCACCCAGGTGCCCCTATAGAGATATTTTTAACAAATTGCTTCTTGGATTTTTTTTTTTTGAGCAACTTCTTTGCATTAGAAGCACTTAAAATTTTATTTTAAAAAATTAACATTTATTCTTACTTTTTAAAATATAAACCAATTGGAAAACACAGGCAAGTTTAAAAGGAGAAAATAAATACAACTTACCTGTGTTTACAGTTTAATATTTTGCTGGATTCCTTTCCACTTTATTTTCTAAGCTAAAATTTTATTATAAAATAAAAACTGGTATCACTGAAGAAACCAGTTCCTTAAACAAAGAGCTTCTACTCGAAACAAAGAAAATAGCTCTCTATCACCAGGTAAGTAGATTAAGTAGAAAGCAAGAGTATGTGTGGTTATGTTGTATTTTTTGTTTTGTTGTTGTTGTTTTTGTGGGTTTGGTTTGGTTTATTTTGGATGTGTTGGTTTTTAACAGTGGTGTTCACAGCTTATAGCTTTTTACCAGAGCAAGGGTATCAGTGTCACTCAATGATACACAGCAGCATCTTGGTCCACTGCCTCCCAGTTCTGGGGCCCTTTGTACCTTCCTCAGAGAGGTCCAGAGGCTTCTAGGGAGGGCCCATATGTAGGAGACCAAAAGATATTAAATGCAAAACACTTTATTGGAGTTTCAGGCACAAAACATCTCTGCGGGGGACTAGAACTGGCTGGAAGGGCCACAGGGCAGGGATGGGAACCTGAGATCTGGTCTATCTGTCAAGAAGCAGCCACGTCACTGCACTATGTTTAAACAGACTCTTCAGTTCACTTCATTTCTTTCACAAGTAAGTCTATAGAGTGTCCTGCTTCGGAGGAAGTAATAAATTATCTCCCCTCAAGGCTGTTTGCCTCTGTCAAATGGATTTGTGGAGCAGATCTTTATCAATATGTTTCTAGGTCCAGCAACTTTGTTTATATGTTGTATTCACTGACTGAGAGGATTTTACTGTAAGATGATATATCATCAAGTTCTTGTCCTAAATGGAGTTTAAAACCTCTGAGATAGAATTTTAAAAATACTAGTGGGACATCATCAGAATGAGTGACTATTAAAATTGCAAATCCCATTCCCACCTTTTCTGATTTCTTAAAATGCACACTTCATGATTTGGGTTGCGTTTGGGGGAGATTATGTTTTAAAAAAATCTCAGCAAATCAATGCAGCTTTTTTTTAGGCAGGAGGCAAAGTTAAGCTTCGTATTATAAGAACACCACACACCAATATTTGATTGGTCAGCATAGTTTTTAATCAGCTTCCTGTGTAGATTTTAGAGGTATTTATTTTGATTCATGTTTACTTAAGTTTCAAGACTCACAGGTTTTTGATAGAAACGAGTTTTATTTAGTTATAAAGTAAAAGTTAGACTTAGCCCAAACCATTTGGTATTTTAACAACTCATGCTTATTGTTTGTTTGCTTGTGAACAGTCCTTACAGAGCCTAAATCCTGGGTGAATCAAGAAAAGTAAAGTAGTTCTTCCAGAGGAAAAATGTTCACCCATTCAAGTAAAACTCTAATCGCAAAGACTTAGCTGTTAAGGAGCAGAGAGCTGACTCAGGCCGCCAAACTCAGATGAAGTTCAGCAATCAGCTATTTCGAAGGACCCCAGAAAGTGGCTAGGGTGGGGCTGAAGATAGGAGGACTGGCTGAAAATCCATAAAAGAAACAGACTCTCAGATCTTGTTCTCTTACTCCCAACCAGAGGCTGCCCTCCCTTGGACAGAAGAAGGCCGGACACAGGACCTGCTAAAATAGGAGCGTTTAGGGAGCTACTTGCATTCTGAGTGGTGAGACCCCAGGCCACTTTCTCTGCTTGGCTTCCAGAAAGATGGCTTCTGGCTTATGCCATAGGTAATAGATGAGAACATTACTCTCTGGGGAAGTGGATTGGAACAAGAAGATATCCTGCAGATACTGATAGTTAAGTCCCCCTAATTTCACAAGTGCCACCCCAATAAGGAATGTGAGACGCCAGGGAATTCTGTGACTCAGAGGAGACTAAAGCAACACAGGGAACATTAAAAGAGAAAACAAGCAGAGCAAACCAAAACAATAACAAATATTCTCCAAGACACAAATGGGAAATATTATATCTATGAAACAAAGATGATCCTATAAAAAGCAATATTCAGAAAACAGAGAAGAACTCTTAGAATATAACACTAGAACTCTTGGAATATAACACTTTTTCAAGCAAAAGAAATGAAATCCAGGGGTGCCTGGGTGGCTCAGTAGGTTAAGCTTCAGACTCCTGGTTTTGACTCAAGTCATGATCTTATGTGTTGCGAGATTCAGCCCCTGTTGGGCTCAGCGCTCAGCGGGGAATCTGCTGGAAATTCCCTCCCTCTACCCCTCCCCACACACATGCTTGCACATGTGCTCTCTCTCTCTCTTAAATAAATGAAAATGAAGCTTTAAAAAACAGTTGGTCATTTTACTGGCTGCAAAATCTTTCATTTAGTTTAATTTACATTTCCCTGACAACGAACAATGTTAACATCTTTCCATGTTAGCCATTCATATGCTTTCTTTCGCGATGCACTTGCTCCAGTTTCTTGGCAATTTTTTTTACTCTGTTGTTTGTCTTGTTGATTAGCTTGAGTTCTCTATGTAGCCTGCATGTAAGTTCTTTGTCAGATTCACGTTTTGCAAATATTTTCTCCTTGCGTCTTGCTTTTTCATTTTCTCAACAGTGTCTTTTGAGGAGATGAGGTTTTAGATTTTGATGTCCTATTTATCATTTTTTTCGTTAATAGCTAGTGGTTTTTGTGTTTTAAGAAATCTTTACTTACCACAAAGTCAGAGAGATATTCTCCTGTGTTTTCTTCTTGAAGCTTCATCATTTTAGCTTTTACATTTAGGTCTGTACTCCATCACAAATTAATTTTCATGTGCAGTGTGATGTAGGGGTTCAGGTCATTTTTTTCCCCAGCTAGATATCTAGTGTACATTAATTTTTAAAATGTTAAATCAAACTAAGCTGGGATAAACCTCACTTTTTACATATAAATATATTTATATAAATATAAAAGTATATATTATAATAAATATTTACATATTATATTTATATATTTTTAAAAATATATTTATATTTACATAAATATGTTTTACATATTTCTGGATTCAATTTAATAATATTTGGGGAAGGATTTTTCAATTGTGTTTATGAGGGATATTGGTCTACAATTTCCTTCTTGCAGTGTTTTGTCAAATTATCATATTGTGGCTGTGCTAGACTCATGAACATAGCTAGGGGCTATTCCCTCCTCTGATTTCTTGAAAGCATTGGAGTAGACTGATTTGATTTCTTCTTCAGATGTTGGATAGCCTTCAACAGTGAAATTGTTGAGGCCTGAGGTTTTCTTTGTGGGAAGGTTTCTAATTACAAGTTCATCTTTTGAAATAAACGTAGAAGGGTTCATAAATTTTATTTCTCTTTGTATTAGTTTTGGCAAGTTTGTTTTTCAAGAAATTTTCTCATTTCATCCCAATCGTCAGATTTCCTGGCTTTCAGTTGTTCATATTTTTCCTTACTATCCTTTTGATGCCTGTAGAATGTATCTTTATTGTGGTTCTATTTTTTCTAAACATTTCTACAGGATATAGAATTCTGGATTGACACAGTTTTTGTTTTTGCAGAATTTTGATGATGTTATTCTGTCCTCTATTATTTCTGAGGAGATGCCAGAAATTATGTTTATCATTTCCCCTCATTTTTTGTCTGAGGATTTTTAAGATCTTTATTTTTAATTTTTCAGCTGTTTCACAGTCTGGTTTTCTTCTTATTATCCTTTCTGAGATTCACCAAGCTTTTTGAATCTGTCTGTGGATGGTTTTCACCCATTCTGGGAAGCTTAATGGACTGTTGATTTTTTTTTTATGCAGTCATTTCCTTGCTGACCTTGAAGTTGTGCATGCTTGGTATTATGCTTTTAAAGATGAGTTTAATTTAGTTTTGCCATTAGTTTTGGGATAAATTCTTTAGAACTAGGATATAACCTTTACTCTTTGTGGCCTTTCTAGGGTTTTGGCAGGAAGCCTGCAGTGTTTACCAGACCCTTGTAGTTTGGTGAGATGCAAACTCCAAATCTGGTCTCCCATGCAGTGGGAGCAGCAGATTCATTGCTCTGGTCTTACAACTTTCCAGCTGTTGCTTTACGTTGGTCTACTTGGCATCTCATCTAGGCAAGCACAATTCAGAATTCAGGCAAGAATTTAATGTGAATTTATGCACAGATTTAGGACATTCTCTCTGTTTCTTTTTATTTTCCAATACTCCTCCCTCTCCTTCCAGCTGCTTTGCCAGTCCCACACTCCATCCTCTGACAAGCCAAAGACACTGCTTGCTGCAGTGTCTGTGCTGGTTCTAGCCACTCCTCCTCGTGTGGGCTAGGGCATGCACTCAGCAGAGGAGTTCTGCTGCAGAGCTGCAGTCAGTGTGGTTCCTTTCTTTCTCTCAAGGGTCAAATGCCCTCCAATGTTTACCTAAAGTTGGTGACTTTCCAGAACCTTCAAGTAATTAAACTTTATATTTTCCCAGAGTTTAGAACTGTTACCTGAAAGAGAGTGAGTCCAACACAAATCACTCCACCATTTTCAGAACAAAAAAAATTCAAGAATTTACTTTTAAGTATCAATACTTCAAAAATTTCAAAGCAATATTATATTTTCTGACTCCTAAATATTTCTGTTCATATTTTTATGAATTGACATGTGGCAAAATATGTACTTAAAAAAACCTTTTATTTATTCAAGAGAGACACAGAGAGGCAGATATAGGCAGAGAAGAAGCAGGCTCCCTGTGGGGAGCCTGATGCGGAACTCGATCCCAGGACCCTGGGACCATGACCTGAGCCAAAGGCAGATGCTCATCCACTGAGCCACCCAGGTGCCCCACAAAATATGTATTCCAATTCTCACATAAATCAAGATTTCAGTGATTTAATAGAATCGTTATTTTTGGAATTCCCTCATATACTCCCATCCTTGTGTTTTTCATTTTTGTTTCAGCCTCAAATAATTGTTTTTTAAGTGGTTAAATCTTAGTAGAGGTTTCTTTCAATTCTTTTTAAGGGATCGAATGCTCAGAAGTCTGTATATTTTTAACTACCAGCATATTTCTTATCAAAGACTGGCAGTATATCCTTCAGTACATGATCACTATCAAGACCTTGGCTGATCTAGCAGCTTCATGCTTCTTTAAGACTGTGCATTTCACATTTGAGCTGTTCAATCCCTAAGAAGATAAGCATTCTTGAAGAGGATGGCATTACATGACCTTCTCAGGACTTGCAATTGATAATACTTTGCAAGCCTAAAGGTAATTATGAACCTCTGCACTTCTTAGTATTTAAGATCAGCAAAAAGTAGTTGAGAAGTAGAACAAGAAAAACTTAACTCTCGCATATGCCCTATATTCCAGAAAGAAAAAAATATGTTCTCTAAAAAATGTATCTTTTCAAAAGTATATTTGGTGACCCAACAGAGGAGTTAGTGGGGGCAATGATTGCTATGTGTTATATTCATGAGTAATGGCTAGGTAGCAATGCTGTATATTGGAAGAGCATTTCACAGTCTGTGGATTCCAAGTATCATTATATGCCAGTGATTCTGAAATGTGTGTCTCCAGCCTGTGCCTTCATCCTGAACTCCAGGCTCATATGCCCAACTGCCTATTCAATGCTTCACATAGAAATCTAATAGTTTGAACTTAACATGTTCAAAACTGAGCTCCTGATACTCTCTCCTTCCACCATTTCCCCAAAGTGCTCCTCCATCAGCCTTCCCCATCTCAGCTAATGTCAGATTAAATATTTAGTGTGTCATCTTTTGAATCTTCTCTCTCTTGCTCTTCACATTAGCAAAATCCACAGGCTTGGGGCAGCCCAGGTGGCTTAGCGGTTTAGCACCTGCCTTTGGCCCAGGGCGTGATCCTGGAGACCCAGGATGGAGCCCCACATCGGGCTCCCTGCATGGAGCCTGCTTCTCCCTCTGCCTCTCTCTCTCTCTTTCTCTCTCTCTCTCTCACACACACATGAATAAAAAATTTAAAATCTTAAAAAAAAAAAAATCCACAGGCTTTACCTTTGTGATTTGCCCTGAACTTGACCATGTCTTAACACCCCTTCAGCCTGTAACTCTGGCCCATAACAACATCATCTCTCACCCATATCACTGTAATAACCTTCCTCTCTGTTTCTATGCTTACCCCCCCTCAACCTATTCCCAGTGCAACAGCCAGGGCAATTCTGTTAAAAGACAGATTAAGACCTTCTGCTCAAAACCCTCCAATGTTTTCCTATGCCAATCCTATGTCATAGTTCTTATTAAGATCTAAAGGCTCTACCCTACCTGTACTAGTCTCCCCTTACTTATCCAAGTACAGCAAACTGGCTGTTCCAAACATGCCAAACACTGGCTCTTCTCTGTCCTGGAATGCTCTTATCCCATTCATTTACATGGCGAGCTTTTGCATTTTCTTCAGATTTTAACCCAAAGGGCTCATTCTTAATGGCCTCTCCATCTAAATGTGCATACCTCCTACTAGCACATCCCTTATCTGCTCTGTTTCCTTACTTAGCAGTTATCACTATATGCCATACTATCTATTTCCTTATTGAGCTCTTGTGTATCACCAATCTCCATTACTGGAATGTAAACTCAGCAAGGGCAGGGCTTTGAGCTAGTTGTCCTCTGCTCTATGTCCAGTGTCAAGGCAATGTCGAGCACACAGTAGGAGCTCCAAACATATTTGTTGAATGAATATGCATAGCATTGCCACAGCTGATCCTTACAATTCTATTTCCATTTTACTGATGCAGAAAGTACATTCAAGGTGATTACAGGACTTAGTCTAAGGCACATAGCTAACTTTAAAGACAATTATTATATATAGCTTTTTTTTGTTTAAATCTAGATTCAGAGGTATTTCCATGGCACTACACTACTCCATCCCAAATTCGAGACCAGTATATTCCTGAATCATCTGAATCCAACGAGGAAATGTAGATGTTGTTTTTGTAAACCAATAAGAGAAGGAGTTTTAGATGTCTCTATTTCCATATTATTATACTTCCTCTGAACTAGTAACATATTTTTAAATAATTGAGGTGATATTTATATAATATAAATTAGCCATTTTAAAGTGAATAATTCAGTGGCATTTAATACACTCATAGTGTATTATACTATCATACCCTCTCTAAAATACAAGATTTTAATCCTTTCTTTCCCTCCTTCCTTCTGTGGTTCCTTCCTTCATACCTTTCTTCCCTTCCCCCTCCTTCTTTCCTTGTCTCCTCTCTCTCTCTTTTTTTAGATTGTGCTATGACAAATGTAGAGCATAAAGTCAGAAGAAAACTTAGAGAACCCAAATTCTTTTCTGTGAATCAGTTTCTTCTGATTAAATAACACTGTTATTTTTTTTCTACCATGTTCACTGGACTATCACTAGCCTCTAGTACTCTTAGGGCATTAGAAAAAATATCATATAAATAGCACAGTGACATAAGCATTTCTTATGTGTGATTAGTTATTACTATTCACAGCATCTTCTTGATGCTTACATTAGACTTCTTCATAAAATTTGGTTCACATTATCTAGTGTCTGCTAAAGGCTCTCCTTAGTCTGCAGGCTTTCTGCAAAACTTTAATTTTAGACTTACAAAGTCTATTTTTATAATTTAATTAATTATACATTTTATAACATATTGATATTTTATATAAATACTATCTATTCTTGTGAGTTTGTCTCAGGAACATGCCATGCTCTGTCCTGTTTTATGACCTCGCAGGGGCTCACTTTTCCCAAAGGCTCTCTCTGTCCTCCATCTGTCAAATTTTCTCCACACTCCAAGGCCCAGGTTTCCTTCTTCTTTGAGCTTCATACCAGCAACTCAAAGTGCCACTGATTTTCTTGCCACTCTGATTTTCTGCTACTGCTCTTATTGTCTGCACTACATGATTGATCCCTCAATTACATTCTGTTCTGTCTTGCTCATTATCATTTCATCACTGGCTACTCTGGGGCCCCATTGCCTTTTCCATCAACAGAGAGGGTGAGACTAGATGTCCTTGAAACTTTCTTCCTGCTCTGAAAATTCTGCTTATAAGTAAAGTTTTTTTCTTCTTGGATTATAAACTTCTTGAGATAGATACATATGTTTTAAAAATTCCACAATGTATTGTGTTCAGTACAGACAAGGATTTCTTAAATTTCTAGCCACTATAAAGATTCACGTTTCTGTGTATTTAGAAGTGTGATATGACTCCTAGAAATGGTATTGATCCATTAGGTCAAACTAGTAGAGTTATAATGTTCAGGTCTCAGAAGTGGCAGTCTTGCTACTTGTTCTGCTTACAACATGCCCAGAATAATGAGTTCCACTCTGGCAGGCTTGCCTTAGGAGAGCGATCTTTAATCTGGATAAGAACAAATTAGGGTAGACTCTGGAAACCATAATGTAGGAGGTATTGAAGGCATTTAGCCTGGATAGGAAATGATTAATAGGATCCAAAAATACTGTATCCAAATGCTTAAAGATATAGAATGAGGTCTCCCTCTGCTTGTGTCTCTGCCTCTCTCTCTCTCTCTCTCTCTCTCTCTGTCTCTCATGAGTAAATAAATAAACTCTTTAAAAAAAAAGATATAGAATGAGGCAAGAATTATTTTGGGTGGCCCAAAAGATATATCTAGGACAAATGGATGGCTTTTCATGCAGAGGCGATTTCAGCTTAGTATAAGTCACAACACATTCATAAGTTTCTTGTAAGTTAGCTATTATTTAACATTAGAATGAGTTATGTGCCTCATTGGCTCTATCGATCAGTTGTATGGCTATTGACTCAATGTCCGCTCTATGCCAGCACTGTTTTGGACATGAGCAAATGGTAAATGAGATAGTCGGGGACCTGCTGTAATAGACCATACATTCTGGTGGGACAGAGAAACAATAGGGGAAAACAAACAAAAACTCCACTATTAATATAAAATGTCCACGAAGAAAATGAAACAGAGCATGGTGATAGAAAGAAAGGAGGTGGAAAGGGAGCTGGATAAGAGTAGATAGTCACAGAAGCCCCTGTGAAGATGATACTCGAGCTGAAATGGAAATGACTGAAAGAACCAGCCATGTGAGTATCTCAGGGAAGGACATTCCAAGCAGTTGGTACAACAAGGGGGGATGTTGGAGAGCCCTCAGCTAATGACCCCTTGATGGTTCAAATGCATGTGTCCACCAGGCTAGGCTCTGATGCCCAGTTGTTTAGTCAAACACTAACCTGGATGTGCTGTGAAGGTAGTTTGTAGATGTGATTAACATCCGTAATGAGTTGACCTGAAAAGAGATTACCCTCCGAAAGTGGGTTATTCATCTAATAAGTTGAACACCTTAAGAGCAAGAAGTTTCTCTGAGAAGAAATTTTTTTAAGAGTTTTATTTATTTATTCATGAGAGACACACAGAAAGAGGCAGAGACACAGGCAGAGTCAGAAGCAGGCTCCCTGCGGGGAACCCTTTGTGGGGCTCCATCCCAGGACCCCGGGATCATGACCTGAGCTGAAGGCAGACGCTCAACTGCTAAGCCACCCAGGCATCCCAGAAGAAGGAATTCTACTTCAAGACTACTGAGGTAGAATCAAATCCTGCTGAGGGTCCAGCCTGCCAGCCTACTCGACAGGTTTCAGACTTGCCAGCCCCTACATTGCACAAGGCAATTCCTTATAATAAATCTGTGTGTGTGTATGTGTATATAATACCTGCATACATATGTCCACACATATATGCATACATCCACACACCTATAGGTGTATATCCTCTTGGTTCTGTTTCTCTGGAGAACTAGGACTTATATAGACCCCTTCCTGGGAGCTTCTGCATATCCTGGCTTGAGGTTCTGTGATTCCACAGCTGATTGAGTGGGAGTGGAGAGGAAACTCTAACAGCTTATGATGCCAGAATTATTTAGGGACCAAAAAAGCTGTGAATGGAACTTTTAGAAAATATTCCTATTTGGCAAATATCCTTGCTGTCTATTGAGTCCTACAGTGTAGCAGGTAGCCTACCATCACAGATGTCCAATAAAAAGAAATGTCCAATAAAAAGATTTCATCCCTTACTCTGTTTTTGTGTTTTAGAATTGATTTCTTACTTGGGGCACCTGGGTGGCTCAGTTGTTGAGTGTCTGCCTTTGGCTCATGT